CCATTATAAACCTATCTGACTACAAGTTTGAGTTATTTTATTTTTTTCCGTTTTGTTGGAGCATTTGGTATGAGCTCAAGAGTGTACTACAGGAATATTATCTGCAGAAATATTATTTTCTGCTGAAGCAAAAACTCTAATTTTTTCCATAGCATACCCATTGCATGACACACTCCAAAAGCTTATTTAGACTCAGTATAAATAGTGGCACTTGCTAGTCATGTCACCACAAGGCTGCTTTTGCTAATGCAATTAATCTGGCCTCTTGGGTCATCAGCAAGGGTTGTAGAGGTTCAGTTTCAAGTGCCTCAAAGTTTCTCACCAATGCATAGTCTCTGTGTTGTTTTCCATTTACATAGTATGGAGATCCACTGTGCAACAGTATAAGATCTAAGGTCTCTAGAGGCTGATTTTGCAGATCTGCCCATAGGTGGCTGGAGTGAAATACGTCATAGCAATCATGATGCAGCTCACTGTTGGAAGGAGCAAATAGTAGAGTTGTTGAATTCAAAATATCACATTCTTTAAAAGTAGTAATAATTAAATTAATTATTTTTAATTCAGAGCAATTCATGTTTTGAGGGGACAATGTTTGTCTATCATATTGTTTAAGAATCAGTTCTACTTTGAGTTACGTAGTTATGTGATCTATAACTAGTATTCCTTTTACAGCTTGGAATATCCTTTCTTTCTCCAGACTCCAATTCCACTTTCTATGCCTTGATAACTTCTTTCAATGGTTTACTTAGCTGCCCTAGCCTTGGTAGTTGGGGTCTTCAGTACCCTACTGTGCCTAAAAAATTCCTCACAATTGTTTTCTTTTTTGCTTTGTTTGGGCAAGGTATTTCTACCATAGTCTTGGACCTATTTTGGGTCTACTTTGTCCTTTTGAAGTATACTGGGAAGAAGGATCGTCTTTCAAAGCTGGAAGGGGTTTCCTCCTTTTTTTTTTTTTTTTTTTTTTTTTTGTGGGGTGGGGGGGTGGTGGTTGTTGGTTTATCTTGTTGTTTTGGTTTTCTTTCTTGTTTGGGTGGGGTTTTTTGGGGTTTTTTGTTTATTTGTTTTTTGTTTTATTTATAGATTAAGCCCAAGCCTCAGTTCTAGATTAATGCTGATTTTACTCCACAGCTTTGTGACTATGGTTTTCAGCAATTTTGCTATTTTTATCTCCTTTTGTATGTTTTTGGTGATCACACTCCTTCCCATAGTGACTAGGTCTATCCATTCAGGCAACAAATGTAATTCGATATCTCAGATCTGTAAGAAGTCTCTTTTTATGCTGGGGAGTCTTCTGTCAATGTGACTCTTTCACAAACACTTTTTCCCATTTGTTCTTTGTAAGCAGTTACCTCTCTCAGCTTGTGAATTGCATGCCAGTGACCACCGTCACATCCTTACATTACGAAGTGGGAGAAACAGCACGGTTTCTACTGTAGCTTATAGTCACTGATAGCAGTTGCAAGCTGGGCTCCTTGTGGTGTTTGTCTGAAGTCAAGGCTTTCTACAAAAAAAAGTTCTAAATGAAAAATGTAATAAAGGTGAGAGCACACTCTCTCAGTACAGGCTAGTGAAGAGCCACAAAACCTAGAGAGATATGTAGAGGATAGATTATACTGATGGAGGAACTTGCTGGGAGCTAGACAGCAACACTGGAAAGGCAGCTAGATTTTGCTGCATTGTTTCATATCCATCTGTTAATAAACAGATACCCAGTGTCTGGGAAAACAAGCAATACAGGTTATAAAATACAAGTTCTGCTTTTCCAGTAGCAAGTTCTGTGTACATACTTATTAAAAACATTTCTCTAGAAGTCTTCTTATCTAAGTGCTGCAGTGTTAGCAAAACTAATAATGAAGTATTATTGTGGGGAAAGTGTAAACTACTTAAGTATATTTGCTCTGTATGATTTAGAGTTTTAACAATATCTCATAAAACTGAGCTTTTTTTCCTTTAGCACTGTCTTGTTCTAGTACCTGGTAATTTTGGTATTTACAGCTTCTTTCCTGCTAATAGTAGCTCAGCTGCTTCTTCTGGGGGGGAACAAAAAAAAGGTAGGTCTGTTGAAATGCAGATCTCTGTTCTGATTCCTCAGTTTAGAAAGTAAAGTGATAGGCAGCTTAGCCAACAGACTGGGCTGATCCAGGAAAGCTGTGGTGAAGTGGGGAATGGTGGGACACATATTCAGGTGAATACAGATTGAAGATGTAATTATAAGGCACAGAAAAACCAATTTAAAGAGAGGCTAAACTAGGTAGCTAGGAAAGAGTGATCTTCAGTTTTCAGAATTGTGTTTGTAAGGCCTCAAGGAGATGATCCACAGAACTCCAAATCCTTTTTTTGTGTGGTTTTGAAGAAAACCTGCTTATCAGATTATATAGAGAAGCAAGCAGACAAAATTGGGGTGTATTTGGGGAGGTAGTTATTAGCAAGCATTCAAAGTGTACCCCAGTTCTTTGTAAGTGATATACAAGATGGCTCATCTTTTGTCTTGATTTTGTTGCCTTGTTTTATTGTCACCTGTAGGGTAGGTGGCCCTTGAGCTCTGTGAATTAAACTGAGTCTGTGTTAGGACATATATGTAGCAGAGGCCTCAAATTGTAGAGCTTATGCTATTGCTGCTGCCAAGCTCCAGTCTGGTTTGCACTTACATGCAGAGCTGAAAGTTGTGCTGTCTTTTTGAACTGATTCACAAGCAGGTCACATGAACTTTTGTCCTAAGGGTGACTTATCCTACCAGAGAGATACAGGTCTGCCTTAATCCACTACTTCATGTCTGTCAAACCAATTAAAGATGTTTTTGTGGTGCCACTTACCTGTATAAAAGTCTTTGTAGTGTTTAAAATCCATCTGCAGTAAATGAAGCCACCTGTTAGAATTAAAGTGATATAGCCCGGCACTCAAATTGGAGTAGAACAGACAGCTCCATCCGGTACACTCAGTGCTGCTGACATGTAATATACTGACATGTCTGGCAAGAAGACTTGTTTTGCATTACTTCTAAGAAGTACTGGGTAATAAAACGAGACACTATATTTTTAAAATGACTTCTGTGTCTTCTTTTTTGGCATTGTTTTGCCAGTTTGAAGGAGCTCTTTGAATCTCAAGGTGAAATTGAGGTTAATACTAAGTATGTAGGGGTGGGTGTCTTCTACTACTGCATTCTTGCCAAAGGAATCTTTTTAGAATAACTGATGCTTCTGATAGCCAATGAGAGAGGATCAAAAATAACACCATAGTCTTCTATGCATTGTTGTGCATTCAGATCTAAACAAAAGAACTAAAATGAGGCCAGAAATTAGTAATAATTTTTTCCACAGCAAAACTCCAATTTAGAGTTAGCACTTACTTGGTTGGTAGTGTAGTTGAGATGTGTGTAGAACAGGTGTTTCCCCAACAGCATGTACTGTTCTGTATTTCCTATAATTTTGCTTTGAGTTAAACTGTCCTGATTTGAAAAGCTTACTCAGAAACTGATTTCAAAAGTTGTCCTTTATGCAGAGATGCCATCATAATTTGGGTAATGCAAATATGCTCGGTGCTCTAAGGGTCGAGTAGCTCCAAACCTGAGAAGAGAGAATTACTGGAATGTATTATGTCAAGTGGTTTGTAGTTTAAAGAAAAGCAAAGCTGGAGTTGCTTCTGCACCACATATGAAACGATCTTCTCTCTACAAATATGACTATTCTTACTGCATAACAAACAGCTATATTTACCACATTCACCAAATGGATAGTTCTTTGAAGTTTCTCTTTACAAATGGTATTAGACTTCATCCTCACCACCCAAGCTTTGATCAAGAATCTTCTTGTATGAACATTTCTCTGGGGTTATGAATTAATTTACATATTAATATTGTGACATAAAATAGCCTTTTTTCTCTCTATGTTCTAGCAACAGAGGTAGCCAGGACTTGTCCACTAACCTGAGTTTGGTAATCTGCTCAGCATTCCACAGTTAGCTCAATACTTCTTGTGGAAACAGTAGCTCAGTTTTGTTTGAGACCAATCTTCCTGTTCCTTGCTTGAATGACTTACACTGTTGGCTGGCTGAAAAAGATGTTTGTTTAAATATAGAGGCTAGCAGACAAAATGGCTTGCTTGCTTCTGGAGAACTTAGTCCCCGATAGAGAACAGAATTTGGGAAAATGGGAAAGGAAGCACATAAAGAACCTTAATCTTCTGCTAGATGTATACAGGTTGAGTGTAAAACTTCAGTTTTTTCTATTACAGTTCACATTTTCTTTCCATTCATTCTGCCCAACCCGATCCTCCTCAACCCCAACAATGGCTGAACAAAACTCTAAAAAGCTTTAATATATTTTATCTTGGAATATCTTTATGTTCTAGAATTAGTGGTGTTGAAGTCTTTCTACTTACTGTTTGGGTCTCTGGCCGCTGAGCTCAGTGACCTTTAGTGTAGTTGAATGGTACTTTCCTCCACAAAGCAGCAGTGTGAGGAGGTGACCCTGTGCTAGTTGTTTGATACTGTGGCCATGAGCTTAGAGGACCTGGAGGCTTAGACTTCTAAACTGAGCTCATCTGGCAGGAGGTGTGCTGTTTCACAATCAACACCGATCTGTGAGGGGTCCTTCTCTTTCCCTCATCTGCATTGCTTCTGCTGCTTTAAATTAGTCTTTTTCATTGAAGCTTTTCCACCTCATCCTGTATACTACTCTTTCATGATCCTTGAAAACAGGAGAAACAGTTTTTGTTCTCCTTTTCTGTGACTTGTGAGCAAAATGAGATTTTTCTTTAGACTATCTTTTCTGGAAATCTCTGACTGTGTCAAAACCCACAGTATTTTGCAGGTTCATCAATACAGAGGTAAAATAAGTACATGTCTTTCAAAGAAACAGTGTCTGGCAACATTAGCTATAAGGACTTTTAATATTCTGGTGGACTTGGGTTTGGATGTGTAGCCAACTCACTTCAGTCAGTAGTTTGGTAACTGCGATTGTGTTACTATTGAGCTGTCAGTAATCCCTGCGTGTGTTTGTGTAGGCCCAAAGCGAGTACCCAGGCAGGGAGAGCAACAAGGGTTCAGTAACAGAGGCACAGAGGGGAAACAGGACAAAACTGAATGGAGACCATCTTTCAGGGAATACCGTCCCTATGGAGCACAAAGACAAGTGGAATTCTCAGTGGAACGGTATGTATCCTGCAGAGAGAACTAAGGTCCCTCACAGAAGATATTAGCGTGCAGGTTTTTGCAAGACTACTTACTTCATGCCTGTAAGAGCTGTAGTTTCAGCTTCCTCGGGGGTTGAATTGGTACATGTACATTGGTACATTTTTGTTGAATGTTAAAAATACAAGGAAAAACTGAAAAATGTAAAGATCTGAAAATGTACCCCCTAGTCAGCAGCATATTTATAATGTTAGTTTCTGAGCTCACATACCAGGCTTTGCAGAATATGTAGGAGGTTGCAAACTAGAATTTGCTGCTTGAACAGTGAATGCATATTGATTTTGCTTTCTTCATAAATACTAGAAGATTCCACCTAAACCCTTAATGCTTCAGAATGTGGCTGTTCTTACTTGATACCACAGTAGTTGATATTTAACAAGTTGTCTGAAATTTTTAGCAGTTGCATATAAATATGGGTGTAGATGGTGGAGCTATTGCATGATAAAGTTGTGAAGATTTGACAATTTTATAATGTTTTCTTTAGTTTCTGTTATGTTTTCAGTGTTAATAACTGCTGATCTTTCTGTTTCTGTGTGCTGTAATAATTCCTCTAGAGTTCAGTTTGTGCATTTTCAATGACAAAACCAAAACAGCTGTAGTGTGTGCTGTATAAAGATGCACTCTATAAATTGTGCTGTAGCTGTTATACACTGATGTGTCCCATAGGTGCACAAACATAACATGATTTTTTTTTCTTCTTGTTAACTGTTCTATAAAAACAAAAGTCTGACTAATTACCTTCTCCTTAGACCAGTGGAAAGATTAGACTATGAAAGACCAATAAGAGGACGTGGTGGGGGAAGAGGCAGAATGAGAGGTAGAGGAAGAGGTGGTGGATTAAATGGAAGTTTTGATGGGTTTGACCAAAGAAGAAAACGTGAACCTGAAAGGCAAAGTGGGAATGATAAAACGTAAGTGTTCTGTGTGCTGTTTCTTACTTGGTATACAAGTAAATAATAGTCAGCACTGCAGTACTGTCTTTTAGGTATTCTGTTCCCTTCCATATCCAGGTTGGCTGGCAAAAAGTCAATACTGGTTTTAGTTTGAGGTCATAAAAAAAAGGAAAAAACCTCTTAAACTCATAGAATTGTTTTCCTCTCTAGAGGTGTGAAAGCAGATGACAAAAAGGGTGGAGGTGGAGCTCGCAACTACAGAACAAAAGATGATACAAGGTATGTCATATCATTCATAAAGATGATACAAATATGTCATATTTTTTTAACTTGGCTCCTTCATGATGGTAAGATTAAATGGAAGCAAAGGCATGATGATGTTTGTTCACTTAAGACAGCCAGAATCTTTTGACTGGAGCTGAGTTGTCTTTTAATGGAAATAAGTTATTGCTTTGCTCAACAGTCAAGTAAATGGGACTCTAGTATTTAATGGAATTGCTCCAAAATGCTAATTCTAAGATTCAGGCTCTGTTACTGGGCTTAAAGTCCAGTGTATTTTCTGGAGTTTTATGGATAATTTCTAAACTGCAAAACTGTAGTACATTTCAGTGTGGTTCTGAAGATAATATTGAGTTGACTGTACCATGGAAGTACATTTTAAAGTGCTAGAAAAATCAGTAGCATAATGTGATTAATGGCCACTTTGAGATAAAAAAAATCAGGACTTTTCCATTCAGTTCTGTATATCTATTGGTCAGTATATCTCAGTGGTACTGATTTGTGTTCAGATTTGTAAAACCTCACAGATTATGCTGGCTTTTGCCCATTCTTTGTACCTAGCAGTACATTGCTCTTTCCAGTAGCTGGAAAGTAGTTTTGTTGTCATACACATCTAGAACTCTTTAATTGAAGGCTGATATACAATGGAGAAAAAGCAGTGCCTTGAACTTATAGCAAATATATTTGGCCACACACACATTCATTGACAAAATTGTTTTAAAAATAAATTTTTATTTATAAATAAAATCTAATTTTAAAACCTAATGGATTCAGACAATCATGCTAAAAGTTTGAAAAATAGAGCCTCGATGTGTAATAATTTTTTGGTCTTGATGTTCCAAATTCTTCTGAAAGATTGTATTGACTTCTCTCCCTCCTACAGAATTTCATATTAAAAGTAGATTGGTTAGGTACCCTGGCTTTTCAAAGGATCAGCTAGGTTAACATTGTTCTGAACTGACAGTACAAAACTAGCTAGTAGAAAACTATCTTCTGTAGGATATTAGGGAAGGCTTCATAAACTTACTAGGTATTTATTGGCCCTTTTATTGGCACTTACATATTTTCTTCCTAGTTAAGGTTTGTTTTTTTGGGTTTTTTTCCAGTCCAATAGCATCAGAGTTTATACCAATGTTTTCCTGTGATGTGGTAGAAGTGACATAAAATTAAAGCTATCTGAATGATTCTAAAAGCATGTCTGTGTCCTAATTGTGCTAATCATGCATAAGGTGTTAGTTTTAAATATGTATGCCTGCTACTGGAATGAAAATAAGTTCCTGCTGTCATTTGACAGTGAATTAAAGTCCATGTTACAGAAAATATGAACTTTAATTTTTTAAAAGAAGCAAAAAGGCAACCCCAAATGTCAGTGTTATACTGACAACTAATACTAATCATGATTAGTGTTCATGATTGAATTCTTTCATCTTCATAAATGCTTTAATTTTTTTTAATGGAATAGGTCTTTTTCCCAGTATTCCTAAAATACACTCATTTTTTGTTAGTTGCTCAACTAATTGCTTAGTGTATCTTTCTGCTTATGATCAAAGAGTTTTCCTTTTTTTTTTTTTTTCCCTCCTTACCAAGGAATTCTGGTTAAAGAAGTAATGTATTGATTTGGTTTTTTTCCAGTGTGACTTATGAAGACTGTGGTTTTATTTTGGTTTTTTGTGTGTGTTTTGTTTTGTTTGCTTACTGTTTTAGTGGAAAGGGACACACTGCATCTGTGGAGGAGACCGTGGACAGTCCTGAACAGCCAGGGACATCTGAAGGAGAGCCTCTGAGCAAGTACAGTCAGACAAATATTTTCTTTCTAAATGCAAAGGAAACAATTAACTCATACTGATGTACTTGTATTGAGGGGCACACTTAAAATGTGAACTCTGAAGTTTTGATAGTGCACATATTTAAAAATGGAAAAGTTTTGTTTGCATTTGTGAGTATGGAAAATATGTCCCTAATTCTGACTAAAGCTTGATTTATATAGTTGGAGATTGCATTTAATGGCACAGTGATGCTTAACTTCCTAAGATTTGGTGATAATTTAAGGAGAAACTACATATTATGTTTACCTTTTTAACTAAAATTTGTAGAAGCTACCATGCTTTTTCATGTTCTCTGACAGCAGGTATTCGAGGTGCCCATGCAATTGTACAAACATATTTAAAATAGACTGAGCAACTCTAAGGCTGTATTCGCCAATCACTGTTATCATGCAAATATCATCTATTAGTGAGAGGCCATGGTAGAACTTGGAAAAAATTTCTGGAAATGCAGTAAACTTAAGAGTAGAGAAACTGAGAGAGAAATGTGCCTGTTGCCTTCTGGCTTTCATTCTAATCAGTGTTACAGCAAATAAATGAACATTGGCTTAAGAAAAATAACTGGACAGTCTTGTCTAAGTAAGAGATTTAATGAATAATTGAATAGCATGTGGTGCATATCTCCTAATGAGTGAAAGATGGTCAGTGCAGTATGTCAACCTCTTCTGTTGCTGTGAAGCCTTTTTTACTTCATGGAGCAACTCCAGATATTAGTGATATGGATTAATTTATTTATTATAAAGCTAACTAGACTACAAAACCTGTTTTATATGTTCAGGTTGTTTAACCCTGTAAGATGTTCTTAAGGTAAGATTCTTTTAATTTTAGGGTAGATTTTAATATATAGCTAAAGGTGTATACACGTGGGGAAATCTGTCTTTGAATGACTTATGACTGAAAGAATGTTCCTAGCCTAACTTAAATCAGATGGGCAGTGTAGGTACACTGATGCACTGTGTTAGCTAAATATGAAAACAGTTATTCAACTTTTTAAAAATTTTGATTTTGTCAGTTACTGGTACCTTTGCTTGTTTCATGCTTGTACTTGTTTCTACTTCAATTCAAACTCTTTGTAGATATCTCCCAATATCTGTTCATTGTAGAGCTTAAGACATGAGAAGTGTGTACTCATGCCTCTTGAGCGGAAAAGGCCTCTGGGAGAATTTGCTAGTTGTCTTTAACTCTTTCATCTTTCTCAGAGATCACTAGGTATTCAGTCAGACTGGGAGCCTTTCTGGAGATTTTGCTCCTGTTTGTATTTTTTTTTTTAAGATTAATTCACAGAAATTCAAATTATTCAAAACAGCAAGTAACCTACAAGCACAAAATTCTGCACTGTGTACTCCTTTCAGGGCAATAAATACTGTCCTGAAGGCGTACAAATCTATATACAAAACATGAGTTACATAAATCTCCCTGCACTTATCTTTTGGGGGATGTCAGCTTGGTGACCCTATGTATTTTAAAACAAGAGATAATGTGTGAATAGTGCCTAGGTCATTAGGGATGGTTGTATGGCATACACCTTAACAAGATGGAAATGTTGTTTTAATGTTTAAAAGCAAAAGCTGGTAGGACATGGTGTTCAGGCTTCAGGATGTATTTAAAGGATTTACATGCTTAGGTTGCCCCTGCTGTCCAGATAACACAAATTAGGCTACCTTCTGCTTTTGCTACAGCCTCAATATTATACAGGGTTGTGTTTGACCCTAGCAGCAGCCCAAGCATTCTCATTTTGACTCTAAAATGCAGTGACTGCAATGAAACCACTTCTTTTATATTGCTTTATTGCAGTTGTGTGCTTGCGTTGAGAAAGAGATTGAAGACTTGGGTTTGTTTCATCTCATTCTCTTTCTAGTCTTAGGTGTTTACGTTTAAAATTACAAGTAAAAAAATGTATTTTTGGAAGTTGCGAATAACCTGTCTACATGAAGGTGGTGTGTAGCTTTCTGATGTGGTACTGGCTAATTTCCATGCAACTCTGGAAAAGAGGTTTTGTGGGCTTCTGTGACTTATGGGGTCTTGTCTTTAGGACTCTGTTTTGCCATTCCTGAGCTTCTATTTGCAGAGTATTGCAGGATAAGTGTTTCTTTAATACTTGTATGATGTAAATCAAGGTGTTTTTTCCCATATCTTCAAATCTTCTTGAGTGTATCAGCAATGTTTATTTCTAGTTATATCATCCCAAACTACATGCTAATATAGGTTTTTTTTTTTTTTTGCTGCAAAAGCAAAGCTAACCTCGACCCTGTATAAAATACACAGGCAGTGCAGAAGTATAAGCTTTCCTCACAACTGCTTTTGGCTGAACTTTTCTTCACAGTTCAAACAATGTAACACGCTTGTATTGACCAATTAAAATTAGATTTTTTGGTTTTATTCAGTACAACACAGGGGCTAATCAATTGCTCTTCCTAAAGGTATTTGCAGAGCTTGTATTTAAACTTGTGGGGTTTTCTTACATTTTTTCTCACATAAGTTTTCCTTTTTGGTGGAGCTATATATCATATTGGTTATGTAATATGAAGCTTTAACAATTTATCTTGAAGATGTTTTAGCAATTTCTCATTCATTTATTTGTTTTGTTGTTGTTTATTGTTCTTTGTTGTTGTTTAATGGGGCATAGAGCTGTTCATAGATCAGGCCAGAGCTTCATAAGTATTTGATTCAGTGTTTTTCTTCCATAGTAAGTCTGTACAATTGTTGTTTAGTCTTACCTTATCTAACTTTAACTTTTTCTATAGCTGGTGATAATGCTCTTGTAAATATTGTTTAGTGGGAAAGCTTCTTGTCATTAACTTCTTGATAAAAGCTGGCTAAGCATTTGCTTTGTGCAGCTGAATAATACAAAAACTAACCTGCGAGAGACCTGTTGTCATTATTTTTAATTTGAAAATAATAGCTGAATAGCTGAGCTAAATGGCACTCCTTTCCATTTACCTTCCTTCTGGTAAAAAGCAAAGATATTTTGCATAGTAATTAAGGCGTAGTTAAAGGTTTATTGTTATCCACTAGAGACACTGAAGTAGTAGGAACCATTACTGAAGGCTCTCATTTAGTGATTTGGTAGGACTTTCATTGTAAGTTCAGTTTGTTCATGTCCAGAGGTTGTGCTTAGTTTACTGGCAGTGTTTTGTGAGTATGACTGCTGGTGTGCCAAGGAGCTTATTAATTTGATTAATGAAAACGCACACCAAGCAATTACTAAAAATGGATAATGTTAGAAGGTAGAAAGTAATGTGCAGGATGCACTTCCATTCTGGCTTGGTGCCCAAAATAACTTGGTGCAATTAAGTTTCTGTCCAAAATGTGATATGCAGGTTTTTTTTGTCACTCATAGGTGTTTCCCCTTGGGAGTCTTGACATCCTGAAACAAATTTGTACTGCTAATAACCTAGAAATTAAAACCATCCTTTGGAGTAAAAACCAAAACTGAATTTTGCAGTTGAAAAAACTAAATATTTGCAGGTAAATCTGCAAGTATTTTCTTTGGAACTGGTAAGTGGATGTTTTTGATGTATGTGTACTTTTCAAAGAAATAGCTCTGTTTGCTTTTTTAAGATCAAGTTGCTGTGTGGTCAAATGTCCTCATGTTATCTTATGATCATAGCAATTTAGACCTGAAAGGGGTCTTTTGGGCCCAAGGCATGACCAGTTTTAATTGTTGCTTCTGATACCTGTCCAGTTGATTTTAATGTACCCTGCTAATGGAGTTTTCAATGTCCCCTGACAATCTTTCTAATACTTAGAAAATTAGAAGCTGCTGTGTTAGGTTTTTTTTCTCCTGGATGTCTTGCCTTAATGTCATGGATATGCAAAATTTTTTTAGCATTATGTATATTTCCTTTGCATATCTTTAAAGGCTTCCCATTGTACATCATGTGTTTTAGACTTGTATCTTGCAGTGCTATTGTGGACTTCTCAGCTGTTCCCATGTAGTAGACATTATTCAGTTGAGATGTTGTTCTGCCCTACCAACAATAACATCTGTTCCAGACAAAACTGTTGATGTGACTCCTTACCATGCATACTATGTTGTTGAAGAAGGAACAGATACTTGAGTGCAGTGCTCCTGCACAATCCAGGGAGTTGAGGTGCCTCCTTCAGAGCTTCTGTCTTGTTAGTGGTTTTTTCTGTGTTTGGGTGGCTGATACTTTTGCCTGAGTGTACATATTTCTAGTTGTTCTTGGGACTTTCTGGTGATTGTTGTTTTGGTTGCTTGCTTTCAAATCACTGGGTCACTTTAGCGTCTCGTACCACTGAATCAGAAGCTATTCAGTATGCTTGAATACTTGCACTATTGCCCTTCTTTTGTGCAATCTTTGTGCCACAGAAAATGCATAAATATTATTTTACACTGTTAAACTCCCATTCACAGTATTGGTTTTCTTTTGCAAATTGAAATATTGAGAGCTAGTTCTCAAGTACTTTTTGCTATCAGTTCTGCATCTTTCTGCATCTGTTGCCAAGGACTGAAGCATTGTCTGTGTAATGTGGTGAAAGGTTCATGGGAGAGGAGGGAAAAAGACTTCCTAAAGTTCAGATATGCAATTTACTGAGATAGTGGCTTTGGAAAAAATTAAATTTAATAGAGACACTTTTATTAGTTATGTTTCTCTTTAATTTCTCTGAGTGTTTACTACTAGTCTTGTTTTTCTAACACGTATTCCCAAAACTGAAGCTTCAGATAATTGATCAAAAGTAATTTGGCTTTTTACTCTTGAGGACAAGAAATTGAAATGTTTTTGGTGCTATATGTTCTTAGTGCTCTTACAGGTGCAACAGTATCTGCTGGTGTGTTTCCAGAAGTAGCTGCTTCTTTCACCAGTATCCTTTTTATGTAACTCAGTAACTATTTTTTCCCTGGTAGTCCTTCTGATACAGTTTCACATCATAATGAGAGGGGAGCTGCAGTCTGCTTACCAATCTTTTGACTTTGAATTTCTGGTTGATAAAGCTGGAATTTTCAAAACAACAGGGCATAAGGGCATATCAGAGGGGCAGGCGTGTAGTGCGGGACTTCTGTATTTGTTATTCTTCTGTGAAGTGAATTTAGAACTAACTTGTGTTAATCCTAGAACTAAGATTAAGGGCTGCTTTAGTGTTCAATTCTGCTTCTCATATTCATGTGCTGGGTGTTTAGAAAAATACTGTTTAATTTTGACTGGCAAGAAATAGGAAAGCTTTGCTGCAGAATCAGGGAAGAAGGACCAGGCCTGTTCCCATATAGGCTAGTTCTATAATGCACAGTCCCAAAAAATGTGTGTATTCCAATGGGTTGCTTGTACAACTTTAAAAACCAAATACACACAGTCACTGATTGTAATTTGACTCTTTCCATGATAAAAAAAAGTTCCAGCTTGCACCTAATAAACTGTATATTTACATTAGGGAAATTACAATCTTTTGGTAGGACTGTGGAACTATGACTGAATGCAGAAAATCAAATCAATCATTCTCCCACAAGACAGGTTCTGATGAATGGGCTTTCTAGAAAAGTCATTGTTAGGGAAATACTTAATCAACTCCAACTGCTATTGTAACTCGTAACAGTTTTCTATGTAAGGAGAAATGGTTTCTCAAACATCTTGGAGTAATAAGTGTGGTCTTTCCTGTACAAGTCATGGTATTTGACTTGTTTATGCAGCAGACCGTTACAGTGGTGTAGGAAGTTGTGCTCTCCCTGTATGTGATGCTGGTTAGTAGGTAATAGCTTTCTATAGGTATCATTAAATGTAAACCTGTAGTATTCTAAAAGCTGCTGTCCTGGGCAGGCCTGTCGTGATCAGCAGCAGAAAAGTGGCAGAAGAGTACTCAAGCGTCATCAGTGGAAGAGAAATTTTTTTTTCCTATGTGTCTTGTCTTATCTCTGTGTCTTACAGACACAAAACCTCTGTCTTTACAGTTCAAAAATATGCAAGGCAGCCTCTGATGTATTCTGTGTGTTTTTCTACAACATATCATTATTGTACTTATTGACAAATGATACTTGATTAGGATTAATCTGGTTTTGCCAAGTGATAAATACTGTCTGCTTGTCTGTTACTACATCTGACAAAAAAATTCAAGGAAGCATCTTGTGAAATTAACAAAGGAAATGTTAATAATTACCTGTAACATCCCATGGTATGATCATCATGTAGTGATCATTTTTGATGACTGAAAGCTACACGAAAACATGAATTAATCTCATATTGTCGTTGAGCAGTACAAGGCAATGAAATCATACAATTTGGGTGTTTTAAAATTGCTCTGTGTGCCCTTTTTTTTTACTGTGGCTATATTTACTAGGGGTAGATCCACTATTAAACTGTAGGGTTAAGAATATGCCGGTCAAAAGGCAGAATGATTTTGTCTAGAATCTGAGTGCTTGAATTCAGGATGAGACTGGTGAGTACTAATACAGGAAGCTGCAGAAAGCATTTGTTCATATGACTAATTTCAAAGAGTACATAAATATATACTCTAAATTTATGTAAATTATTAATGTAAAACTATCACATGAAGTTACTGTGAGGACTAAGTGAAATTGACAATAATTTGGTGAGAAACCTTCTAAGTGTTTTGTTTAGTATCCTTACTTTGGAGATAAGTGTTCTTGTTTATCCTGGAATGTTGCAAGCTAATGTTTTTTACTCTAAAACTGTGAACTTCTAGAGCTGCTGAAGGAGAGCCAATGGAAGAAGTGGTTCAAGAAATGACATTAGATGAGTGGAAAAATCTTCAGCAACGGAATAGACCAAAGCCTGAATTCAACATCCGGAAGCCAGAATCCACTGTTCCTTCCAAAGCAGTGGTGATTCACAAGTCAAAATATAGTGATGATGTAAGCACTGCCTCAGGAATTCTGTATACCCTCCTTTATGCCCAGGGTTAGGAAAATGTCTCTATTTTTTTTCTACTAGCTTTAGTATAATCTGAATAGGCAAGAAAACAGTATCTAAGCTTTATCACTGCAATGACATATGCCCCCAAACTGGCTTTAAATTATGTGTTCAATTTTTTTGTCTCACATCATCACCCCTATTTTCTACACAAACGTGGTATCAGGTTGTTCTACCTTATGGCTCAGCTGCTGCCACCTGTCCCTAGTAATGCTAGGTCCCTAGTAATGCTGCTAGAAAAAGTTGGTTTATGAAACTTGGTTTATTATACACTTCTTTTCCTTGGTTTGAATCCCGTTTAGCCTACTTGCCAGTATACACTTGCATGTATCTCATTGTGCACTTGGAGATATGAATTTTGGATTTTTAGGGTGTGTTTTTTTTGAGTTCTGCTTCTTAGAACTAGAACTTAGAACCCTGGAGAGCTTGTGGTGCTGTAGTGTACACCCATTCCAATTTACTGTAAATTTTACTCCATAATATTATTTAGATTGAAATTACATGGAGAACTACTAGTTCTGAGGAGATAGGGGAAACTTCTTTCAGATTCTAGCTTACTTAGATTTCAGATTTATGGGATCACAGAAGTATGTGCTTACAGTCTAGCACAATGGAATTTTGATCTTTGAAGTCTACATGCATTTATGAATATGTACCTTTTCTCTAGTTATAATATTAATATCAAAAATTGCTTAGTCACTTCAGATGGTTGAGTGTGCCTTCTTTTTATTGAGACTTTTTAGGTCAGAGTTGTCTTTATCCCCTCTTTCTTTTCTGAGAGGTAGGGGTGGGGAGAGTACCTTCCACAAAGTCCAAAGAGACAGGTGTGTGAGGAGTACATACAAGTTTCTGTTCCTTTTGCCTATGAAGTTTCTGTTCTGGTAGTATCAAGAGACTTTGTTAAAGTGAACACAGAACAGGAGGTACAGGAACTGTGTAACATAGGCAAGTGAAATCCCTGAATTAGACACTGAATAAGTGATTCATCAGTGTAAGGCATGAGTTAATATACACTTTATCATTACTACAGTCCCCATTAAAGTTATGCTGGGCAATAGTCTGACATGCACTAGCTATTAGGAACACAGTTAAAACCACAGTGATCTCATAGCTGCAGGCATGTGGATAAATACATCAATTAAATAGCTTTGGTATGGCCTTTTATCCATTATTTGGACATAACTGTAGGAGTAAGTAGCTTAGGTCTGACGCTCTAGTCTCTTTGAAAACCTCATAGATTTATATTTCTGACAAACCTCTTCATTATTACGGAGTTGGTACAGAAGCTTTTGTTACCAGGAATCTCTGAGCCAACAAAGAACTATCCCAGACATCTGGGAAGCTGCAATTACCTCATCTGTGTTAAAATCCTGTGCAAGTTAAGGCCTGTCTTCTAGTCCAGATGCTATCTTAGTTCATCTAATATAAGTGTGAATGTGTATCTGGGAGGGGAGAAGTTCATACATGGAAAACTGTAGGCTTTAACCAGATCTTCTCTTTAGTTGCAAAAAGAAGACTTTGAAGACAATTCTTATGTCTTTCGAAAACCAGTAAATGATATAACTTCTCAGCTGGATATTAATTTTGGGAGTCTTCCTCGCCCTGGCCGTGGATCAAGAGGAGCACGAGGTGGTCGTGGCAGAAGACCTGAAGAGATAGGACGTCGACCAGAAGTAGTGGTAATGGATTTTATGGTGCTGTTGTTGTTCAATTGAGGTTTTTTGTTTGTTTGGGTTTTTTTTTTTTTTTACTGTTGTTGATGGTGTTTGTGTGTGTCCTGCCCCTGTCTGTGTGGAATTTTGATTTCTGTAGTGACAGACTTGTTTTTAATTCCTGTCTTATAGTATGTTGTTCTGCATATTGAGTTCCTGGCCCATATTATGTTACTTGAAATTAAATACTGATTCAGGCTCACAACTGTTAAGACATACATTTCAAAAGGTCTGATTATTAAATGCTCTAATGGTAACTAGAGGAAAGGATGCAATTAGTTTTGATATAAATTGGGAAGTAATTAAAATAACTAAAGGCTTGTATCTCTTTGAAAAAATTCTGTGATACAGTAATACTTTGTTTACTAACAGTGAGATCAGTAAATATGTGATCCTACAGGACAATTAATGTGTTTAATATAACCATTATAAAAAATTTCCACTTACCTTTTCCTTTGGGAAAAAAAAAAAGCATTTGTACACTGGAAAATGGTATCTTTATTCTTCATAGTAACAGAAACTTTACGTGACTAAAATGATTTAAGACCAGGAACTTTCAGAACAATATAGAAGTGTTAATGCATTTGTTTCAACTGGAAGAAAAAGGTTCTTTGTGGTAACAGATTGGAGAGATTAAAACTACAACCCAATATGTTCAATAGTTCTAGAATGTAAAAATATAGTAATGCTACTTCTAAAAATATGCCGTATTCTGTTTGAGACTGCTCTAATTTTTCTTCATTCAGTGCTGCAGAACTTATGACCTTCTGGTCCTCACCAGGGAGCATTATAAAAACATTCACACTGAAAATAAATTATAGTAGACACAAGTTCTATGAAAGCCTTGTGATAGTGATGGATACAATTTGAGTAGAAGTAGCATTTAGTTGTAGTAGCATTTGAGTAGAAGAATGAACCCTTTTGAGGGTAAAATATGTACATATAGCTGTCAGATACTTTTGAAATTTTTAGAAGACCTTTCTTCTGTTCTAGGTGCATCTTGTTGCTCCAAATCCTGATGATCCTGAGGATTTTCCAGCATTAGCTTGAAGACCTATCATGAACGGTGGTATATCAAAGTTGCTTTGTAACTGTGAAGAGACCAGTTCTATGCTGTGTGGATTAAGGAAGCCAGTTTCCTTCTGGGAAGTTGTTTGGGTGTTTGATGTGGAATGATTGCAGCTGTCTGCTAACAGAGTTGGGTTCTGGAAATATGGGTGGACTGGGATCCTGCACAGGCTCCGATGTCTGCCTCCATTTATGAAATCTATGGGAAGGCTTACAGTACTTCCCTACTAGGCTTCAAGTGAAGTTAAAGGGAAGAGTGTTTAAAAATGTATATATAGAGATTATATCAAGTTCTCTATGACACCATGTGAAATGTAAACTGTACAATACAATCCACAATTGGGACTCAATTTCACTGTACATTTAAAAGTTGTTTCCTTTGGGTGAAGTGTGTATTTCAGACAGTTGCAGTTCTTCAGAGTTTCACAAATAAAGGAAAGTGCACATTGGTTTGGGTTTGAGGTATTATTTTAATAAGTCAGAGTGGTAGGTGGAAGCTTTTGCTATTTGGATGCAGTCTGGGGAAAAAAAGTGGGGGCAAAAAACCCAAACGCTCAACAGCAATCTGTACTCGCCAGAAAAAGAGAACATCTCTCTAAGTGGAAGTGATCTTTAAAATCAAGGCAGCATAGGTGCTTTGAACTGACACTTAACCCTAAGTCCTACTTAAGTGGCAAGATATAGTCTGCAATTACTTTGAAGATTAAGTAAAATAGGAATTTGAATCTAAAGAGAGAACTAAATTATTAAGGAAGTTTTTAATTTTAGCAGGAGCAAATACAAACTAAAATGTTAAATGCCTTACCAAGAAAATTTGTGATGTCGGGGATGAGGTGCAATGTTCTTTCATTGCAGCTTTAACATACTTGAGTCAGATTTTCTGTTCCCTGTCCAGGGGGACTCAGAGCCATTCTGGATCATATGAGAGAAACAAGAAAATGGTGCCAGAGGTGATGACAGAAAGAAATGAGAGGACAAGCACACTGGACATCTTGGAAGTAGCTGTCAGCCTCAGACGAATCTTCAAATGCCTGCTCAACTTGAACATGTTCTTTAAATTTACTGGGAAAGCAGATGATTATAAACCTTCCACATTTTCCAGTTCTGTGCCTCACTTCTAAGCAGTCTCCTTTGAGAGTTAATAGTGGATGAAACTTAGAAGAAAAAAGTTTTTCTTTGCAGTAAGCTCTAAGAGTACTCACAATCTTAAAAGACTTTTCTCACTGATAAGGCTTTACTCAAATAGGATGTAGTCATCCTACAAAGACGCATTTCTGTATGCTCCAAACAGACGGCCTGCAGAGTAGTTCAGCCCAAAGGATTTCTTTGCATTGTTAAATTACTTACATGATAATGTGCTATAACGTGAGATTTTTTACTGCAGCAGGAAGAATGTGCAAAAGCAAAGTGTTGGTGTTAGAGGAACCCATGCTGCTGCTATTTGAGTAACTGAATGGGATGAAATAATGCACACCTCCTTCACTTTGTAGTCACAAGGTGTTACTTGAAATCACTGCAGTTTAAGATTTACCTGATGCTACTCTTTTTACAGGTGTTGTGTGTTTCTGCCAAAAATGGCGATTTAATCAATGTGGAATATAAGTGATTTTGTCTGTGAGGTTCTTGGAATATTTTGCTTGTTCTTCCCTTCTTGTTCCCATTTTCCCATTGGACAGGGAAGAATGTGTCTGATTTTTTTTTTTATATTTTTACTTGCTTGGGTGAGTGTATGCATAGAAATGTGAAGAGCTTCTTTGCAGGGCTTCTTTCTATTTCTGTCATGTTTTGAATGTAGCCTTCTCTTCTACTGGCCTGTTTTTGCTAAGGAAAGTGTTCATATACTTAAAAGTAACCCTCCCTTTTTCTACTAAAAATTAAATCTTTGCTATGCTGTGCTACTGGGCTCAATCTGCTGTGAGGCATTCAGTTTAGGTTTGACTGTTCTCTGAGACTGCTCTCTGTTTTATTTTTCAATTTCCTTCCTGCTGTTGCAAAGTTACTGTTTATTCCTCTAACTTTGATCTGCCTTTCAAAACAGAATGACAAATAGGTACCTTGGGGAATGCTTTAAATGACTTGTCAGAATGTATGTGTATAATTTGCTTTTGGTTAGCAGATTGTAAATTCCTGGTTAAAAGGAAAAAAGGCTAGTTACAAAACTGTTTAATTAAAAACAGAACAAACCAACCAACCTAAAACAAAAAATACAACCATCCAATCCAAAACTTTGTGAGAATGAGATTGTGTGATTGATTACTGCTTCAACCAGTTAGAGCATCTATGTGTGACAATTTTATTTTTCAGTCTGTCAGACTTGAATATGGTTTAAGAGTTTCTCTACCAAGTATAGAAAAGAAATTATTAATTGTAAGTGATGACAGTGATGAAATTTCTTTGCCTAGCTGTGATAACAGAACTGTAAATCGCAGTCATCTGTCATATTTAGGCTACCAAAATAGCTGTATCTGTTAAGCACAGATTTGCTGCTGTCACTCCTTGTGTAGCTTTACTCCTTCATGTAAAGCAGTTGGCAGCAGGTGTAAATATATACACAAACACTAGTAGAACATGGCATGTATATTAAGAAGGGATTAAATGGTGTTGCAGGTCTTAGTCATGTTATTCTTTAATGCACTGCTACCAGCTATTCTTTGAACTAATGTAGTGAGTGGCCTAGGAAAAACTGCTGCATTTCAGGTTTAAGTTTTAGATTCATGTTAAGTTGCAGTAAGTTTGCAAAGAGAGGAATTCATCTCTCTTCATGACTGTCATTTACATATGATAATGTTGATATGATGTTGTTCAGTTGAATCATATGCAGTACTACAGTTTAGGATTGGCAAGCATATATTAATATAAAAGTGTCTTTAGAAGAAAGAGGACAGAAATATCTGTGCTTAAGATAAGAATACCAAAGAATGAATTAAGAGACTCAGAAGTAAAAACCCTGAGTTGACAAATAGGAATATTGGGCATTTGAGCCCATAAGAAATGAGCTTTCAGCTGGTTACACTTTTTTTGTATGAAAACAGGCCTTGGGGTAAAAGTGTGCTTTGGGCCCAAACTCAAAATCTGTACCTCTAGTATGCTTTTAGTAGCTGGTTGGCATTAAGAATAATCTTATACAATTTTCACATAATTTTTCATTTTTTTTCCAGAGCTGTCACAGGCACATACACACATGTTCATATGAAAAATTGAATATATGTGTGTATATACACACACACACAAACACATATATGTATATGTGTGTGTATATATATATACATGCAGTGTTGGAAGTAATGCAATGCTGACTCATTATCAGTGGATCAATAATTGAATATGAAAAATTATTCTTTGCATAAAAAATACATTTCAGTCACTGAATATTGGGCATGAAATCAGAGCTTTTTCTCTTTGAGTAGCATATGCTGAGCAAGTACTGAACAGTTTGTGCTTGGAGGGGGGCAGCCTTCAGTCTTTAGAGGAAGCAACAACTGTTACACTTTGGCTGTGTTACTTAGAATTTAATTTGAATTACATTTTATCTTCAGCAGCTTTTTATTTCTCTTTTTTTTTTATTTTTTCAACAAATGCCTTTTTGAATTTGTGATAAAAGTGTTGCAGATATCTGAGGCTGCACTGAAGATACAACTACTGCATCACATTTAATGACTGTTGGAGATGAACCAGTGCTAAATAAATTGAATTAAGTTTCTGCTGTCCCTGCTTAGGTAACAAAACTAGTTACTAGTAAAACCAACTAGCGTGACTGTTCATAATCTGTGTTCTGTTGTCTCTACAATGTTTTACAGCTAGTTAACAGGACTCAATAAGCTGTTGCTTGCTTGTAGCAATAGTAGTTCTTCTGTTGACGTTTGTACAGTAGTTACTGTTTGAGTGAAAAATACTGAATTTTGTGTACTGGAATTAAATCAGCAGGATAGTTCTGCTAAAACATAAAAATAACAGCAAGGTGCAATTTTTTTTTCCTCATGCCAGAAGAGAATAATAAGCTGACACGTTCTGATCCAGGAATTCTCTACTTGTTAGTTGCTTGGTTATTTTTCTGTTGCTTATGGATTGAATGCTTCTTTGCAGAGTTTTTGCTAGCTCTAGCAAAGACTTGGAACCTTAGAGGCTATTGTGGGAAAAGAAAAACCCAATGAAACTGCCACCAGAGTCAAAGAAGACCAGAGGCTAGAAAGATCTGATCAGTGGGAGGAAGGGATAGAATTCCAAAAAATAAACATTAAATAGTAGTTGACTTTAAAATAGATACGATGCTGGTGTAAAGAGATGGGCAAAAAGCATCTAGAAGCATGAAAGCAGGACAAATATAATGTGTTTTAAGTACTGACTAGAAATTCAGTCCAGTGAGCATGCCATTTTGGGAAGAATGGTGAAAGATCAATCTAGTCTAGCAAAACATGAACTCAGGGAGAAATACAAGGATGTCTAGAGAAAAGCTATATTTGAAGGAGTGATGATTAAGAGGTTGAGCCCTTCCACTGAGCAGAAAACAATGCAATTATTCAGGCACTGACAGAGACAAAAGCAAGCTCACAAGGGTAAGTGATGTTTCATTATTTACCCTCCTGGCATCACTCTCACTTTGGATTTTCTTGCATTAGTAATAGGTGATGCCAAGGGTCTGTTTCCATTGTGCTGTCAGGGTACAAGGACTTTGGAGTTTGCCGCTTTATCCTGTTAGTGCTGTAACTGAGCTGCAGCAACTGGCATGGTTGGAAGAGCAGGGAGTTGGAGGTGCTAGTGACACAGAAGAGCTTTTCATCTACTGCTCTGCTCTTATGCAGCACATGCTGGGTTGAGGGATCAAAAACACCAGTGGCTGCTTGGCCTCTCTGGAATCTTTACCAGCCTTGAGAACTAGGACAGACTTTGATAGAGAGAACATGGACCAGGAATGGAGCTGTTTAAAGGACAGACTTTCTAGGTGCCTTCTTCCACCCTCTTCATGACAGTCCAATGCTTGACAAGGCTTTTGGAAATATCCCATGGATGGAGGGTGTCATGTTTAATACCAGATTTACTTAATTGAAGATGGTTCACGTCATGGCATTTCTGGTTTAGAGTGATATAAAGTATACTGAAAACACAAAAACATAATATTATAATTAATATAGCAATTGCAGTACACAGATCCTTCACAATACCAATATGACTCCCTTTACCAGTCCTTATGCAATACATCCTCACTGTCATCCTATCAGGTGTCCTCAGGTGTCAAGAAGGAATGTGAGGGTTGATCAGTTAAGACCCTTCGTTTGCTTTGAAATTCTTATGGCAGTTGTCTGGCTTTTATTTCTATGTATTCATTGTCCCCATGCTGTCTTCGTTCTTGCTGAAGAAGTACTGGTTGATCCACTCAAACTTTGATGGCCATTTATCCAAAACAAAGGCCATCCCGTGTTCCCTCTGAGTTGAGATAAAGTCATCTTTTTAACTGCTCTAGTCCGTCACTCCCTGAGCTTGAAAAACACATTACCCTTGTCTGTGTTCTCTTGGTCTTATTCCATATTTAGGACTTAGTAATCAGACACATCCATATGAAACCAGCCCCAGAACCAGAAGTGCAAGAAAAAAAAAATTCTTCCTCAACAAACCCTTGCTGAGATAGGTTTAAAGCACAGCCTCTCTGAAGCTAGGCTCAGATTTCATGTACAACAGTGCATCATTTTTGCTATAGCATGTTTTTGTCTACTCCTCCATAAGCAATGTAGAAATTGCAATGCAAAGGAAGCTAAATAGATCCAAATTGAAGTTACTCAGAACTGCTGTGAACAGATTATTCTTGCAGTGTGTTAACTTCTCAATGGAATTGTCTTGGGCCACTGTTCAGTTTTTCTCTGTGGGATCCTTTCTGTTCTCTGCCCAGTGCCAGTACTTCTTAAATTGCTAATGATGTCATAGGGCTTAACTGTTTTCCTGTGGGCATCACACGCATAAATTGGTGTTCTCCACCATTCAGTTCTTCAGACACCTTGCTTGTGAGGAAAATGTGCTTAAAATTCATGTAAGTTTGGAAGGGATCACCTCACAACAAAAGAACACAGATTTTTCAACCATAAAACTCTATCTTTGAGGCAAGCAGAAGTTTGCTTGCTTGTCAAATAGGCTGTGGTTGGTGTGTACAAATTCTGCATTTTCTAATGTAGGTAAGGGTCAGAAGAAGCATTTCAGTTGGTCACTATGTTTTGGATATTTTTTCAAAATACTAAGCTAGGCCATCACCCATGCTTTTGCAAAAATCAGTGTTCCTAAAAATTTAATTATTTTTGGAAGTCTTCACTGTTGTGGTAAGTATAAAAGTATAGAGTATTTAAGATAATGCCTGTTTCTAAAAATTGATACTATACAATCATAGAGGAAGGAGAAATAACTAAAATCCCATTGATCTGTCTTACTGTCCTTTTTTCACTGTGTAACTGTCCCAACAATTCAAATGCAGGTACTGTTTTCCAATGTGAGTTCCTGGAAATGTAGAGCCAGAAAAATCTCTATTTTTGAAATTTTAAAACTATGTGTTTTAAAAATCTGTGCTTTAATTAAAGATTTTCAGGCAGCTGAGTGTGTTGTGTTTTTTTCAGTGCACATGTGAGTCAGTCTGGTACAGGTATGATGGCTTTGTGATCATACGAGAAATAAAACAGAAAAAAACCCTTCTGATTATTTTTAATTTTACACAGTTCACGTTTACACTTCTCACTATTCAGTATTTTGTATAAAATCGAATGCAATTTGCAGTACTTTCAAATGACACACAAAAGCATATTGAACTAATTAATATTACAAGATAATATGAAGCTTTATCTTAAAAATACCTTCAGCAAAATAAACTTTCGTTCTGTCAATCCAAGTTAAAAAAATATGATTAGAAATATACAGTTTAAAAACAATCAGGATGAACAGTACTGATTAGTCAAGAAATTTTAGACCTTGATAGCCTGTATATGAGTTTACATGACAGTCTGCAAATGATTAATATAAAAAATGCAGTGCAACAAACCGGTGAACATCACATTCAGGTTTTGTTTTGGTTTTTTTTACAATCTCTTACTGTTTAAAATCAGTAGTGCTTCCTCTACTGTCATACTAGGGCAAAAAGACAAGGTCTAGGTTTGTGTCTGAGGTTTTTTTGTGCTGTAATGGAAACCAGCAATTTTACCCAATATATTACAACTTTTGAGCATGTAGTATCTTCTGAGTTAAGAAACTGAGGAAGAATCCATCTGTCACATATTTGAAAGAGGAAAGAATTTCTAAGAAGAATCTCCTAACTGATGACAGGAGAAGTAACTTCATTCAGCTGCTCTGTTGTGCAGATATACAAAGGTGATGCAGCTGCCATAACACATTCCATTTTGGCACATAATACTTCACTATTCAGAAAAAAATTAGAAACCAAGCACTTCCTCAGCCATGTGCCCACTCTTCATTCTTGTACCTAAAACACCTAAAATGGTATATTAAAAATGTTAGACAAAGTAATAAAAAATCATAGCAAACTAAGGAGTAAAATTAGATGTGGCACAATGAGGTAATGAGTTAATTTTCCATATAAGGCTGTTTGGAAAGTTCACATGTAAAATCCCTTTGACATTTATGTGTTTTTCACAAAGATGGTGGTGGATGGAATAACTTGAAAAACATTGATATTAAACATGCTGTTTTGGTTTAGTTAGAGTTGCTATTGTTGTGCACTTGCAAATTTACTTCTGATGAACCTATAAGTGCTAATAACTCTGCTGGTTACTTTGAATGAGGCAAATTCTGACTTGGAATTTGGAAGGGGTAAGAAAGAGACCAATTATTTTTAGGTTAAGAAAATATGCTAAAGAAGCAGCTCAGCTGAGAGAAGGGCACAGCCAAACACAGTAAATATTACTAAATTTTTATTCTCACTTCATTCTCACTTCACTATTTGCATTCCTTTTTCCTTCCAAGATGAGAATTTTGTTCAAAAATAAGCATAGGCTCATAATTGCACAACAAACCTACTATTGTGGTTACCTGTACATAAGCTTTTGCACAAAATGGCTTACTAAAAAAAACACCCAACCAAAAAAAAAAAAAAAAAAAAAAAAAAAAACCCAAACCCCCCCTAAAAAAACCAAACCACACAACCCCCACTAAGAAACCCAAACCAAACCCAAAACCCCCTAAACTGAAACAACCCCAGAAAAACCAAATAACCTCTGCCAAAACAAACAAAGCAACCCCATTCAAAGTGCAAGAAATTTTAATTGCATTGTCAGGATGAGATCAGTCCCTCTCTTTTAGATGCATTTTATCTAGAAGAAAAGGAAGTGAAAAGGGAAGTTTAAGAAGAAACGAAATATTTTCAGTCTGAGCCTTCAGTGGTCCTTTATTTTACATTAAAACTTTTTAATTTGTATTCATATTTGCAGATTTTGAATATCTAAGCACATGGATGTTATCTGTAAGCTTGCTTACACTTCACATCCTGTTTCCTTTCCAATTCATGATTCTTTTGCTAGAAAATTTTTTAAAACCACTGTTTTATATACATGTGATATTCATATTGGCATTCAAAAATCACCAGCCTAACAGCAAGCTTAGTTTCCATTCAGAAGGATGTAGATTGAAACTAGTCACTAAACATTTACATTCATTGAAATTTCCCCCTCTCACAGAGGTAATCTGCATCTCTTAAAAACTTCAGTTACTCCATTACTAACATTGCAGATTTCTCAATTTCTTCCACTTTGTACTGTAAGAGTCATTATATCAACAGATAACTGATTTATATTTAAGGCTATGTGGTAACAGCCCTCATCTGAGGGATATGCAGCTATAACCATCAGCTAGCTGGTGGACAAGAGTACATCAGCTTTGAAATGTCATAATGTGAAAAGTAGTAGGAAAAAACCACAGTAGTCCTGTAGGGGATGAAAATTTCAGTCTCAAGCACACGGCTTTTTGCCAGAGGTGAATTGTATTTCTAAAGTGTTAGGTGTCAAAGTTTTTGCCTGCCCCTGAATTCCACTACCTCAGTTGTATGGCACCCTTTTTTTCCCTTTTTTTGTGTGCTGCACTTATTAAGTGTCGCAAAGCACTGTCTGTGTGTTATCAAGCGTACCAATGAAATCTAGGGGGGATTCTTACCTTTCATATATGGTACTTTAAAGTTTCACATAAAGGGCTTGATAGGAAAAGAAACAGTAAAGTTTCAGTGATGAAACATTCAGTAATGACATTTCAATAAGACAGCACTGCTTTAAACGGTAGTGTTTTTCCTCCCCTTTAAAATCATATCAGATTTAAAGCAGTTATAACTAATTAAAAGAGTTGGTTGTGAACAACTAAAAAGCTGTCACTACTAAAAACAAGTTAATCACTTACAATTAGTTTTTCCTAAATAAACCACGTGACCTTTGACAGTAAAGCACTCTTTGGTGGACAATAGTTACACTGTGTACTCAATACTGCAGCTTCATAAAAAACTTCATACAAAGTAAGAAAGAACAGCCAATCAACACAGGAGATTACCAATACTATTAGAAATAAAAGCTTTTGTAGTTGATTCTCAGACTCAAGTGAAGACTTCAGCCCAGTCTGAATGCACAACACAGATTTATATACTTAAAAGCTCCCACCATTGGTGATCAGCAGCTAAGTGATTGCCATCACAATTTGTACACATGCATCATACATATTAGCAAGCCCTCTTTATAATAGAGAGCTTAAATATTTACACCTGAGTCTGAATGTATGTAGATTATGTTGGTTTTGAGAAAGTGTTAGCATGGTAGAAAAAAAGTCTACCAAACATGTTGACAGTTCATTTTATTCTACAAGTAAAAAAGAGATTGTTCTATTTAATTTTTTACTGAAAAATAGAGCCAAAGTGATCTTCCTTGAATTGCATCAAGTCCCCTCTATATCCCCTTCACTCCTGAATATCCTCTTCAACACTGGTGGCTTATTCGAAATTCAGCGCAATACTGTTCTAGTCTTTGTGACGGATTGGCTGTTGAAATAAAACATATTTGAGGGAAAAAGTTAAACATTACCCAGTATGTATCTCAAGCAAGCATTTCTGGCAAGGTAAAGTGAGCAAATGGTACTTCAAAGAAAGAAATGAAAACTAAAAGTCACTGCATTTAGTAACACAGCAATACCGATTGTCAAGAATGCACAGACTGGTCTGATCACAGACAATATGAAGAAAATTCTGTTCCATACAGAAATGCAAAAGGGGACTCAAAGTACCATAATTTAATTAAGCACATTTGTGTAAAGCATTCAGTTTCTTTTTCTCACTCTGAAGTATCAGACCGCAGGAAAAGTAGGAAGAACAGGACAGAAACATTTATATTTTTTTAAAGCTAGGTTTAGATTACATATAGCAAAGTTCTGAAATGCTGCAGGTAGTTTTCAGTTTGCAGTATTTTAATAAGGGCATAGAAGACTGCTTTGTAATACCTGGCAAAGCAAAGGCATATGAGATTTTTAAAGTGTGTTCCTCTTTGTTAGCTTTTGTGATATTCCTCTATACAGTTTTCCTAACTTTTCCCGATATTCCTCATTATAATTTTTTGTAATAACTTTACCTGCATTCCCTTAAGCACCTTTACACATCAAAATGCCTTTACCACTTAGGATTTAATTTCTAATCAACTACTTACTACAACTGAATTTTAATTCTGTTCTGTGTGGTGACATGGAAAAGACCATTTAACTTGTGTCTTATGACTCAGTTGGTTTGGATGTGAAGTATGCACCTTGTTAAAATACAGACATGAACTTCTCAATAACTATGAGACAAACTATGGCAAATTTACAAGGAAGATGTCTTAACTGGAGAAATAAGGGCACCCACAAAGAAATACCGGGTTATGGGCTAGAAATGTGACTTCCTGCAGTTCAAAAACCAGTATTATTTCAATCACAAGATATGTGTTACGTCCATCAGTACTTCCTTTCATAGACGGCAGCTGACATCTAGAGATGTTCCACAAAGGAAAAGCAGTGAGTGTTGCAGTTAGGACTGAAATTCCCTATGTTCTCTTTAAAAAGCCAGAATAGTGTTTTAGATGTAAATAGCTGTTTTTGCTGAAAAATCATTCTGGAGACAATCCATGGTAGTTTCTCCAACAGTCTGAAGGATGAAATGACAAATTAATTCCCTAGCTATGCAGATTATACTGCATTAGGATGGGTCACAAATTGACAAAAAGACAAAAATAAATTTGACAAATCTTTGACAAAAAGAATTTACTAAAGTGACATAAAGCAGTAAATGAGCTTGATGTAAAAATGGTGCAAGATGTTTCCACTGGAATGTATCAGAAAGAAAATGAAAGAATAAGGATATACAGTAATGCCAGTGAAGTTCAGTGAAATAAACGAAGTCTTGACAAAGACAGATGCTGGTTAGGGCAGGATGGCAATAATGTAGAAATAATTATTCTCTACCTGCGATCCACTTGATCTGGATACAGTTTAATGAATCTGAGTACTGTGAGGTAATGCAAACTGCTCATACTTCAAGAAATTGAACTTAAATGAAAAGAAAAGGCATACTTAAAAAAAGACTGA